ATGATGCTTCTTACGTCCGTTTCGGAGAACCAGAGGACAAATATTTCAATCGATCGCTCAGGCATGGCACTGAAATGAGGCACCGAAATCTGCGTTCGGATTCGGTTCTAGTACATACCGGTTACATAGGTACCGGTGCCATATTGGTACCGGGTTTCGGTACCCAACCCTATTTAAAAGTGTCTTCATTAAAGAGTTATAAGCAATGAACCAAATCACCAAATCACGAGGTGAATCACAAAATTACGACCTTTGATTTGAAGCAAAAAAGTATTTGAAAATCAGATAAAGGTACAAGACTGTCTAGCTTAAAATGGCACAAATAAAGTAAAGAACTACAATCCCATGAAGCACTGCAAATGACAATCAAATTAAAAACAGTAGTGAATTATAAAACTTTTAATTTAAAGTTTCTAAAGAAACAATATATTTTAAATGTATTGAGATTCACTCGAGTATGTAATTTGCTGTGAGTGGACGTACCCTGCAGAGCTCGCTGTGACTCAATGATTGGTGTATTTTTTCTGCACAGCATCATGGGTAATGTAGTTTCCCACCATGAATTCAGCTGCTAAACGCAATTATTTAAAAAAATAAGTTGAAATAATGTGAACGGATGGCTTCAACAAAAGCATTTTCCTCTGATTAACAACCTTGGAGCTCACAACAGGTCTGTCTTTAAAGATTTAACAGTTATCATTAAAAATGTATTTGCCTGTGGAGAAAAATTGATGGTTTTTACTTTTGGATCCCGACTGTTGCACTCTGTAGTGTCTTTCATGTCACTGGGGACACACCATTGTCTTTTTGCACACTTTTGAGTATGGTCCATGAATCGCCTGCTTAGACAGGAAGAGACTATTCAGACAGGAACTCACCTTCGGCTACGTCATCATCGATTGCCCCTTTCACTTGTGAAAAGCACCACTGTACATCGTTTCCCCCGCCTCCGGCTCCTGAAACCATAAAAGCCAGTTAAAGTTTGTTGCAGCCCACAAATAAAAATTAACCTTGGACATATCTGGGAAAGATACTTTTGAAGCTTTCAAAATATCAATAAACCTATAAGGAACTTTTAATTTGGTAACATTCTCTTAATATTTGATTTCAAAATAAACTTCCCGTATAACATAAAAAACAAGAGTATACTACAAGAAAGATGGTAGTGAGGAAAGAAGGCATTCTCATCTGACAAAACAAATTGGCTCTTTCATCACACAAAAAAAGAAAGCAATGCTAAAATACTGTCTACACTCGCAATAATCCCTATCAAATTTAAAGGACAGCTCTTGCATCATTTTTTAATGAGAGTGGAGAAACGGGCTGAGGCAAATCTCGAGGGACCGTTTGAGGCAGCGCCAAACTGGTTGGGTTTGTTCACGAGAAAAACGGCTACAGGAGACCCAATAAGAGGTCTGTCGATAAGAAACCTGAATAAGGAGAAAACAGTGATTTTGCGAAAACACAAAAAGAAACTGATAAACTCTATGCCGTCTCTTGTCAGAAATCAGACAAAAAAAAAAATCATTATTAAAATACTTAAATTTCGGACAGTATCTGAACAATTTCTTGGAAGGTTTTTTTTAGTGTGTGTGTGTGTGTGTTTTTTTTAAATTTTTTTAATCTACATACGTTCATTAGTCATGATATATATATACATATACATTCTCAAATACATAATACATTACAATAACAATTTATACATATATTTAACAATATATTACAAATTTACTACACCCATTATCGACAGTAAAGGAGTGTGTGGAGGGTTGATTATGGTTTTGTTTTTGTCAATCAGTGCCATATAAGTGAATCCTCCCACCCCTTAGAAACTGATCTGATTTCTTTTCTGTGAATAAGTCAGATGGCTTAAAGTTTCATAAGCAGGAACACATTGGGGTTTGACTCATTGCTCATGACTCTGCAGATGCCGGTTAAAGTTCCCTAACGTTACTTTAACGGAGGTGATTTAAAGAGGCCGAGATGCCAAGCAGATTTACACACCAGGCCAGATGATACATGCACACGGAGGACGAGCGACCGCGCATCCCCGCTAACGAATGATGAATGGGGTTAGCTGGACAGACCTCCGCGCAAATGCAGCTCATCGCTGAAATAACTACCCAGATCAGAGGCGCATCAGTACTCAAATGATCGTCCCATTACGAATATAGCCCGATCGAAATCAGTTTTGCCGATTTGCTGGCTAACTGGAGGGAAACGAGGCAGCTAAGATGCTAGGCTACTGTCAGCGGATCAGCAATGCCGACGATGGCTTCAGCACAACCGCTGCGCTCACTGAAACAAATAGAAGCTATCGCTATAATACAACTGATTTAATACAACCCGTGCTTGAGCAGCTCCTAAACGTGCCAAGTTACCTGCCATGGCGAGAGTGGCGATGTCGGACCCTAGTCTTGATCAGCAGTGTGAAGGCAGCGAGCAGAGCAAGATTTCCAAGAGAGTCGCCAGAAATGCAGTTTTCCAAAAATAAAAGCGCTTGGACGTAATACTCTGAAACATGGAAGAGAAATGCAATTAATACCATAAAACTAGATTTATTAATAAAAGTGAGTGATTATCAGATTATTAGAGAGATTCCATGCATCGTATGAATTAGTCAAGCAAGTAAACACAGGTAGGTAAGGAAACCAAACGGACAAAAGTCCTCCTGCATTTCTCCTGAACCGATTCTATTCATTATTCTGCAAATCTTGGGAATACCAAAAGTCAAGTCACCTGTTTTTTTTTTTCCATAATAGTTTTTCAGGAGGCACTCCGAGGGTCCTGTCTGTCTACATGCATTCGTAAATGATATATCTTCACCATGCAATGTTTCTGTACTGTCTACTGTACCTGTGTATGCATGCACTTTATTTAATATTGCTGATGATGTTTTTGCAGCCAGCAGGGCTGATACATTATTTTTCAAAAAACTTATTAGTGGTAAATGATACTGAAATATTGATACTGGTGAACTTAAATGTTGCCAAAGAGCTTCATGTGACAGGCATCTCTAGTGTTCAGTTTTAACTGCCACAGTGCAGTGTGAGCAATGCCCATCTAAAGATGCTTGATACTTAAAAATGCATGATGTGCTAACATTAGATGTTCCTTTTGTTTTGTTTTTTAATAAAAAACACCAAAATGATACTTTAAACTTCCACAGTTTGATTCACAGTATAAAATGTTACAAATTTTGAGAATAAAATACTAAATGACTACATTAATCAGTCTGCCTTAAATCTGATAATTACTTACAAATCTATAATTAATAAATTAAATTGAGATCTTGAAACCGGTGAATGTAAACCAACTTAATTTTAAAGTGTAATTTGCTTAGATTATTAATAAATAACTGATGTACTATATAAAATGGATTTACACCATTTTGAAAATAAAATATTTATGTTCCATTACATTAAAATGAAACATTTGTTTGTTATTCACCTTTATTTTGACATTGTTTTATGTCACAATTATAACAATATAGGTTGTGAGGTAATTCTCTAACGTATTAATACTTAAAATGTAGGAATATTACAACTTATAATGATGTGTATATTAAACTTTATTAAAAGCTTAGATTATTGTAGCTGTATTTTGAAGGAAAATCACGCTTTCGGGCCCGCTATTACGTCACTTCCGGCTCTTACCTTCGACTGCCGTTGCTAGTTTTTGTTATCAGAGCTGTGCAGATAACTTTGCCGGATTTATTTTATTGCAAACAGTTCGTCTGGGGTTGGATGAAGACGGACCTAGGAAAGAAGCTCTTTTCGGTAGTCCTTTCGTTCACTCGTAAATCTGAAGATCCTGAGGCTTTCTTCCTGCAGCACTCCCTCCTCACAGCTCCAGCTTCCTACACCTCTCTCAACATTCAAAATGGCGCAACCCCGCCCTGTAGTGACGCCATCCGCATTGGCCATGGCCCACTGGATGCTGGGGGACGATGACGTAACTACGATGATGTTGCCTGGCTGTGAGATTATACTCCAAACACTGGGGAAGCAACCGAACACAACCATTCAGCCTATATAATCATAATGTGGTTGACTTTGTGTAAATATTATTTAAACGTGAATAGTTTAAATATTATTTTAGATTTCAGATTTTATTTTATAAATAAATAAATATATATATATGTTTGTGCACACACACATACACTGGGTTTAATTGTGCTTACTTGGTAATTAAAGGTAAGGTTAATGAGAATCCCTGACATTATCACATATATATTTTAGTCAAAATAATATATATATATATATTTCCCCTGCCCCCCACACCCAGAGAACAGAACTGACAGAAGACACAACAAAAACAAAAGTTTTGTGTGTGTGTGTGTCAAATCAAATTTTGAGGTTTAAAAAAAAAAAAAAAAATGTACTGGTTGTTTTGGTTCATGACTATCATTATTTTTATTCTCTTTATATTATTATATATGATCATTGTTTATTATTATTATTATTATTATTACTACTATTTTTTTATTTTTTATTATTTAACTTAAATTCCATGGAGAATATAAATGGGAAAAAAATACTTCTGTAAGCAAGGTGAAGGAGAGTCAGTCATTCTGTGGGAAATGACTATTTGACCTTAGCCTGTAGGTGTGCAAGAGAGCTTTATTACAGTTATTACGGTGGGTTGTTCTCCAGTTCTGTAAAACAACTGACAAATGTTGAAAAAAAAGACAAAGAAATAGAAAAAAATGTATGCTTAAGTTGTAACTTAGTTCATAAGCAGTAGTTTGCAGGTGTATTTGACACATACTGGCACAACTAATTGAGCTCTTTCCATTCAGAACATCTTTTAAATCACAAATCAACTTACATATGGACACGAGATTACAAAGAATACAATATTACAGATTCTTGCCACGCGCCAAAACAGTGATTAGGGTCGGCACATTCTGAAGGATGTTCTGGTAAACATAACAAGGAATATGGTAACAGATGGTTGCATTGCCCATCCAACAGACTTATTGGCAGTGTTGCTCTAAAACTCCTAACAAATGTGTACGGATGCATTGAAAAACTAGCAGCAGGTGGCAGTCTTGCACCATCAAAATACTTCAGTATTGATCCACCCTTGCTGAACAGTGAGCAGATTTCTCTCACAGACCATAAACTATTGCATTATTTCCTCAAAACTGATTTTGTATCAGTCTAAATGGATAAGCGCTGCCAATACTGGCCTTATAAAAGTAGAAAAGCATTAGATGCAACCAGGAAGAAGAGCATCATCATTTCGCCTTCTCATGTGATGGTGGCTAAAATCTAATACACTTCACTACTGATATTTGCAATAGGTTTAGCACCGAAGTTTAAAGATATGAGAAGAAAAACTGCCTGGGTGCTATACCAGCAGACTATAGAGGGCAGTGCATTTGGCATTCAGATGCTCTTGGAACGGTCTCTGGTGTTGACAGACTTTTGAGGGACGGCGGTTTAATTACAGTGTGAAGAGGCACGCTCACACACGAGTGCCAGACCTCCAGGACACTCGGGCTGCCAGGGCTCCGAACTTGACCACTGCAGTCATCCATTCCAGAGAGAAGCTCCCTCCACTGAGGAATATCTGCTCTGATTGCCCTTGCTGCTGTGTGCCAGAGCCTGGCTTTTTGTAAATGGCCCTGAAACATTTCATGTGGTGGTTTTCAGAGAGATGAGATGAGCACCCGTGAGCTTTTTAAATGAGCACTTTCACTACTGATAGCCTTTTAACTTCCAGATACCGTGCCAGTCGAGGTTATCGTGGTTTTGCATTTTCAACAGAAACCCAGAAAACAAGATCTATCTATCTATCTATCTATCTATCTATTTATCTATCTATCTATCTATCTCTCTCAAATAAATGCTTTTTGTTTGAACTTTCTATTCATCAAAGAATCCTGAAAGAAAATGTATCACAGTTTCCACAAAAAAAAATATTAAGCAGCACAACTGGTTTTAACATTGATAATAATAAGAAAAGTTTCTTTAGCAGCAAATCAGCTTATTAGATTGGTTTCTGAAGAATCATGTTACATTGAAGACTGGAGTGATGATGCTAAAAAATTCAGCTTTGATACCACATGAATAAATTACATTTTAAAATATATTGAATTAGAAAACAGAATATATGAAATTTAAAATAAATTTTTAAAAATTGTAATAATATTTCACAATATTACTGTTTTACTGTATTTTGATCAAATAAATGCAGTCTTGGTGAGCATCAGAGACAAAAACATTAAAAAAATCATATATATATATCTGTAAGACTGGAAAGGTTCCCTAACATTTTAATTAGCAAAAAATTGTAGTCACTGAGGCGGCTTGTTATTTATAAAGAACTAAAAGACAGATCAGAGTCTGCCTTTTTAAATACACAAAGCAAGAAGAAACAGTTTAAAGGTCCACTCAGTAATTAATTCCTCATTAAGAAATTAACAGCACTTTCGAAAAACATGTTTAATATCATTTACACTTGCATGATGAAAGCTCATAAAAGCAGATTTGTGTTGCATAGAGTGGGTCCTCACAGGGGCAGACATGTTGAGATCACATGACGAGATGGCTTTATCTGATAAATCAATAAATTAATCAAATTCATTAATAATGAATTAAACAACTGTTTTTTTTAACAATATAACCTGTAAGTGAAAACTGTGATGCTTTTAGATTAATTTTATTACAGCTTTTTTGTTTATTTTGCTTTATTTTATTTCAGTTTCATGATCACTTTCAAAACCAATCTTCATTTTAAACTTCAATAAAAACCCTGGTGCCAATGAGAGATGCTCATCACTGTCCACATTCACAAGTGTCATGCACAGAAAGATGCTCAACAGAATGTGTTGTTGTTGACTGTGTGTTTGTGGAACTCATTTGGTGATAAGAATGTCCTTCTTTCAGTAGCATCATTAGCACACCAGATGCCATTTAGATCACAATTAACTCAAGTCACAATTAACATTGGTTTTAATTAAGTAAACAATCCTGTAATTGAGTAATGGTTTAACTGGCTTATCTCTCAAGGAAAGTTTGAGGCTCCATCCACATTAATCCAGATATATTTGCGAAATGGCATTTTCGTTCCAAAATGGCAAAAAAAAAAAATGTTCTCCGACAGTTTACACTGACACAGCTGAAAATGCTTAAATCATCTTGCCGCACATGTGTAAAAAGTCATAAATGCTCACTGAGATGATACTGAGAGACCAGACATAGTAAAGTTCTCACGCTATTCTTCAGTTATTAACAAAATATCCCACCATTCCAGGTCGCACTCTAAATCAAGATTCCAGGTGTGGTCTAAAATGCATTTGTTATCATCTTTTGCCACAAGACAGCAATTGTGAGTAAATATTCTGTTATCTTTGAAGAAATGTAATATGAAGACTCTACAAAGTAGCATTTATCTTCAGAAACATTATTAAAGTGAATAGCAGGCACAAGGTCAATACAACCATAGATATTTATGGGTACAATATGCGTCACATGACTAAACATGCATCATCGTTATCGATTGCCTCCGTTTTCACAGTTTACACTACAACACAAAAACTGCATCAAATGTATCCACTTGAGAGAAGGTCTTCAAAAAGCTCATTGCTGAACAAAAATACTGTCTCAGGCCAAAACGTAGAGAAAAAGATGCATTTTCAAATTTCACTGGATTAATGTGGATGTATCTAAACAGTTTTTTAAAACACTAGGCATCATACACTTACTGACTTTGTAAATAGTCACGAAAGAGAAACTGGCCAACATACACTAAATGACTGATGATCACACACTACCAGACTTTAAAGTAGTTCTGATCACACCAAACTCGCGCAGAAACTTGCACCTTGTTGCTAGGAGACACGTGACAAATGAAAACAATGTGTATTCTAAAATCGGCTGAAAATATCAAACATCCTCCAACTTGATGGATTCATAGTCTGAAGCTAAAAGAAACGGCGTCTGTGACCATCATACACTACGCGATTTTCTATAAAATCTGTCAACTCTAATCGGCAGACTGGCTCTGACATTCGGCAACTAGCATCAACTTGTTCAGACTGTAAATCGTGTAGTGTATTTCCAGCCTTTAGTATGACCTTCTATGACATCAGATGGATCACGTTAAGAATCAACTGTCAGGAAGGATGTCATATAGTGATACATGACTGTAAAGATCACTTAAAGGGACAGTTCATCCAAAAATGAACATTCTGTCATCATTTACTCGCCTTCGTGTCATTTAAGACTTATATGACTTAATTTCCATGACAGAATGTTCATTTTTGGTTGAGCTGTCCCTTTAAATTTCAGAATTTAGGTTTTAAGAACAGTCATTTTTTGAAAATTATGATTAATAAACAATGACAAATTACACATATTCAGTGCTATCCTTATAAGGTTCCTTTAAGGATATGGAGATTATTATCATATTATCATTATTTCTCATTAAGGCCTGCCTATGAGGACCATTAAGCAGACAAAAAGACAATCACCTCCCGAGAGTACTGACCTCTTTATGGTTCTGTTTAGGGTTAAACAGAACAAAATTGTAATAATATTTCACAATATTACTGTTTTACTGTATTTTGATCAAATAAATGCAGTCTTGGTGAGCATCAGAGACAAAAACATTAAAAAAATCATATATATATATCTGTAAGACTGGAAAGGTTCCCTAACATTTTAATTAGCAAAAAATTGTAGTCACTGAGGCGGCTTGTTATTTATAAAGAACTAAAAGACAGATCAGAGTCTGCCTTTTTAAATACACAAAGCAAGAAGAAACAGTTTAAAGGTCCACTCAGTAATTAATTCCTCATTAAGAAATTAACAGCACTTTCGAAAAACATGTTTAATATCATTTACACTTGCATGATGAAAGCTCATAAAAGCAGATTTGTGTTGCATAGAGTGGGTCCTCACAGGGG